ATGCAATTATTTAATAAATGTATGGAAGAGGGTAAGGTACCTAGGGATTGGCAGAGAGCATGCATAGTTCCTTTGTATAAAGGCAAAGGGGACAAAAGAGTGCAAAAATTATAGGGGGATAAGTCTGTTGAGTATACCTGGTGAAGTGTATGGTAGAGTTATAATTGAAAGAATTAAGAGTAAGACGTAGAATAGGATAGCAGATGAACAAGGAGGCTTTAGGAAAGGTAGGGGGTGTGTGGACCAGGTGTTTACAGTGAAACATATAAGTGAACAGTATTTAGATAAGGCTAAAGAGGTCTTTGTGGCATTTATGGATTTCGTAAAGGCGTATGACAGGGTGGATAGGGGGGCAATGTGGCAGATGTTGCAGGTGTATGGTGTAGGAGGTAGGTTACTGAAAGCAGTGAAGAGTTTTTACGAGGATAGTGAGACTCAGGTTAGAGTATGTAGGAAAGAGGGAAATTGTTTCCCAGTAAACGTAGGCCTTAGACAAGGATGTGTGATGTCACCGTGGTTGTTTAATATATTTATAGATGGGGTTGTAAGAGAAGTAAATGCGAGGGTCTTGGCAAGAGGCGTGGAGTTAAAAGATAAAGAATCACACACAAAGTGGGAGTTGTCACAGTTGCTCTTTGCTGATGACACTGTGCTCTGGGAGATTCTGAAGAGAAGTTGCAGAGATTGGTGGATGAATTTGGTAGGGTGTGCAAAAGAAGAAAATTAAAAGTGAATACAGGAAAGAGTAAGGTTATGAGGATAACAAAAAGATTAGGTGATGAAAGATTGGATATCAGATTGGAGGGAGAGAGTATGGAGGAGGTGAATGTATTCAGATATTTGGGAGTGGACGTGTCAGCGGATGGGTCTATGAAAGATGAAGTGAATTATAGAATTGATGAGGGGAAAAGGGTGAGTGGTGCACTTAGGAGTCTGTGGAGACAAAGAACTTTGTCCTTGGAGGCAAAGAGGGGAATGTATGAGAGTATAGTTTTACCAACGCTCTTATATGGGTGTGAAGCATGGGTGATGAATGTTGCAGCGAGGAGAAGGCTGGAGGCAGTGGAGATGTCATGTCTGAGGGCAATGTGTGGTGTGAATATAATGCAGAGAATTCGTAATTTGGAAGTTAGGAGGTGCGGGATTACCAAAACTGTTGTCCAGAGGGCTGAGGAAGGGTTGTTGAGGTGGTTCGGACATGTAGAGAGAATGGAGCGAAACGGAGTGACTTCAAGAGTGTATCAGTCTGTAGTGGAAGGAAGGCGGGGTAGGGGTCGGCCTAGGAAAGGTTGGAAGGAGGGAGTAAAGGAGGTTTTGTGTGCGAGGGGCTTGGACTTCCAGCAGGCATGCGTGAGCGTGTTTGATAGGAGTGAATGGAGACAAATGGTTTTTAATACTTGACGTACTGTTGGAGTGTGAGCAAAGTAACATTTATGAAGGGGTTCAGGGAAACCGGCAGGCCGGACTTGAGTCCTGGAGATGGGAAGTACAGTGCCTGCACTCTGAAGGAGGGGTGTTAATGTTGCAGTTTAAAAACTGTAGTGTAAAGCACCCTTCTGGCAAGACAGTGATGGAGTGAATGATAGTGAAAGTTTTTCTTTTTCGGGCCACCCTGCCTTGGTGGGAATCGGCCAGTGTGATAATAAAAAAATAAATACAGAGCATCATTAGTGAGGAAAAAATTGCGTACATCATGGTAGCACAATAAAAGTTGATGTACGTAACACTGGTACTGAGAGAAAGACATGCAAGCCTCTACCGAGGGAGATAGCAGGACACTGGAGCGATGGCTTTATGAATTCATGGGTTTTTAAATGCCAGGAAATATTGATTTTCATGGTAGCAGGAAGGATTTAATCAATACAAATCAAACTAATTTTATTTGTATTTGATGACTAAATAATTATATCCATATTTTAATTGTGATTAAGCTAAAATGATGATTTTTGATTAGGTGTCCTAATGAGTGATAGAAAAAATTAAATAACTTAGCGTTTATTGTATTCACTATCTTACTGTTTACTGACAATAACTGCTTCCTCATTCATTCAGTATTAAAACATTAATATACAATTATACATTTATGTAAGCAGAATTATTCAAGCATCAGACACCGTTATAGAAATAACAGTCTACAAGTTATTGTATATTATGATTAGTATCTCGGTCTTTCTGTTCGTGCACTGAGAGCAACAGTTAATGTAACACTTGTGCAGCGTTTAGGAGTCTTTATTGAGGAAATGTTTCCCTGTACAGTTGCTTCATCAGTCCAATGCAAAGAACAATGGAAAAAAAGAGTAGTTTGAGGCACAGTCCCTCAGCCTGAAATCGACGCGTTCAATCCATCCGTCTTGAAGACGGATGGATTGAACACGAAATCGTACTGACGCGAATGCAAACAAGCTATACCATGAACTCTAGTTCACTCAACGCTTTGTGGGGACTAGAGCTAGAGTTCGTCACGGCCACTCTGGCATGGGATTCATCTGTGTAAACTTCCATTTGTGATCACAGTGGTGCCTATGCTAACCTTCCTATGGTGTATAAATATACCTAGTTGGATGAATCTTATTGTAGCCAGCTGGCCCAGTGGCTAACGCACCGGCCTGGAGTTTTACAGCTCACTCGCCACGGGTTCAAACCCCACCCGTGGTATAGTTTGGTTTCATCAGTCTTGAAGATTAATGGATTGAACACATCGTTCAACAACACTGTCAGTTTCGACTCGTTTAATTTAAAGAGACACACACACACACACACACACACACACACACACACACACACACACACACACACACACACAAAGAGAAAAAGATAGAGAGAATATTAACGAACGAATGAATGAACGAATCGAACAGTCAGTAACTTAATCCATCTACATTACTGTCAATATCATGTCACACATTTTAGCTAAATGCAAACATTGAATCACATACATTGTGTTGTGAACAATCTCTGGAGCCTCTAACGTCATTCATCAATTACCATTAATACGTTTAACTGGAAAATGAAATTTGCTTACTTATAAATTTCATTAAACAGGAAATCGAATTATCATTTTTTTTTATAATAGTGTTTACAATACCAACAAACAGATGAGTAAAACACGTGTTTGAAGATGTAAATATGAAGTGATCAGTCTTTAAACCTTGAAGTGATTTCGAGGTGGTCAGTCCCTTGTTATTGCTCAGGAACTGAGCTCTTCCAAGTCGCTGCAGGGCTGAGGAACTGATCACCCCGTATTTATTCTCCACGGTTTCTACTTTCTCCAAAGTTTAAATTACTCCTCTATTCAACTGAAGAAGCCTGCTAAGCAGGCGAAACGTTTCGGCTATAAAGATACATAGCTGATGCACATATATATTTTCTCAGGTGTATTTAGATGATCCTTAGCAAGAAGTGCTGTGGTACCTTGTTCTGGCCCTGTATCAAGGTCACCTTGTCCTGGCCCTGTATCAAGGTCACCTTGTCCTGGCCCTGTATCAAGGTCACCTTGTCCTGGCCCTGTATCAAGGTCACCTTGTCCTGGCCCTGTATCAAGGTCACCTTGTCCTGGCCCTGTATCAAGGTCGCCTTGTCCTGGCCCTGTATCAAGGTCGCCTTGTCCTGGCCCTGTATCAAGGTCGCCTTGTCCTGGCCCTGTATCAAGGTCGCCTTGTCCTGGCCCTGTATCAAGGTCGCCTTGTCCTGGTCCTGTATCAAGGTCGCCTTGTCCTGGCCCTGTATCAAGGTCACCTTGTCCTGGCCCTTCTCGTTGGTGTTTCTGAATCATCTCTTCTTTTTAGAAAGTCAATAGTCTTCCTCTCACTTGCATCATTCTTCCTTTCTCTCCCTCTACCCATTTCCTTCTACCCTTTCTTCTCTCTCATTTGCTCCATCTTCCTCTCTCGTTCCCCCTCTACTCCCCTCCCTCCTACCCTCTCTCATCTTCCTTCACTCACTCCTGCCCCTCCTTTCCATTAGTTCACCTTGTGCTTAAAGACACTTACCAAACTTTTCTCATCCGTTCTTCACATTTTGTCTCCGTCCGTCTCCTCTTCTGACCAGTGCTGATCCTCTGCCGCCGTCCTCCACCATTACCACTTTAGAGCAACACGTGTTCCAGGGTCATCTTTGTTGTTCCTTTCCTATTCTTCATCATCGCCTGATTCTAATTCTTTTCATTTCTTCGGCTACAAAACATTTATTTGTCCTGTTATTCTCATTCTCATCGTTTCTTCCTGATGCTGGAAGCCATTTGTGTATTGGTTCTCGTCCGTTCTTTTCTTGTCATTTTTCTTTCCTCTTCATTTTACTCCTACTGAAAGAATATTGCTTTCTATTATTTCTGCAGCTGTAAGGGGATTGTCGTAGCGGTTTCTTTGTACTTTCTCTCCAGAGCGACTCTGTCTTTTGTAAGTATTCTTTACTTTTTCCAGGTTAACACTTATTGCTGGAAGTTACATTGTTATAATTCCAATTGCTGGAAGTTCAACTGCTGGAAGTCCAACTTCTCGAGGTCCAATTACTGGAAGTCCAGCTACTGAAGTCCTATTTTCTTCCCTTCTCCAAGTGTTCTTCGGCTAATAAGGTCATAAACCCTGTATGGTACTTTCAGCTGGAAGTCCTCTATTCGGTTCCTCCAGGATGGCGCTAATGAGACTTTATTTTTTCCCTTCCAGAGTGACAGTTGTAGAATTTAGAGTTAATGTTAAGCGCTAAACATTTGTGGATTATTCAGCGTAAGATGTGATGGAGACTTGATCCTCCATCTGTTGAGCGAGAGACGCGCTTCCCATTTATAGTCGCCGACATACATATATTTGACGGCTGTAGAATAATAAGACCATTGTAAGACATTAAAATCTCCTTTCTCTCAAAGAACTTTTCTTAAGCGAAACGTCGTCTCGGTAAAGTTTTGCTCTGATGTAAGTGGCTAATATTAACCATCTATTTAGACTTGTCTTCCACCCACTGACAGATACTGCTGAAAATTCTTCAGTGTTTTTGTTTACTTGCAGGGGGACACTTGTTGCTGGATCTGCACTCCCTGCAAGGACTGGGAGATGATGGTTGGAGAGTTTACATGCCAGGACTGTGGCCCAGGGCGCTGGCCCTACAAGGATAAGATGGGTTGCTACGACCTACCCCACAAGTACATGCAGTGGACGTCCATCTTCGCACTGGTGCCCGTAGCCATCTCGTGCCTGGGCATCGTTCTTACCCTCACAGTCATCGTCATCTTCACCAAACACGATGACACGCCCATCGTCAAGGCGTCCGGCAGGGAGCTCTCCTACATGCTGCTCTGCGGGATACTTATCTGCTACCTCAACACCTTCTTGTTGCTGGCCATGCCCGGCGCCACAATCTGCGCCCTTCAGAGGTAATATTTAAAAAAGGACAAGACAGTTAAAGAGTAAGTTTTTACTGTGACAACTTTTCGCTCTGTGTAAAACTCGACAAGACGTGGGAGTCGGACCTAACATTTTCATCAAGAATTACCACTATGTTTCTCTGTAGTTTAAGGAATAACTAACACACACACACACACACACACACACACACACACAGTGGACACAGGATCTATACATACCTTGAAGAAGAGGTACGATACAGCTTACGGAGCAGGGATTAGGTTAAATTAAATTGCGCTTGTTATAATAAGGTTATGCAAGTTTTCTAAGGTTATTTTGGTACAAAATTATTAATTTTTACATTAATATAAATTAAAAAATATATATCTTTAAACGTATAAGAAAATTTTAGAAAGGACTTAATTTTAAATGAGTTCTTCCTAATTAACTAATTTTACCTATTCAGCAATATATAAATATATATAATATATATATATATATATATATATATATATATATATATATATATATATTATATATATATATTTGTGTGTGAAATACGTAATGATGAATCTAATTGAAACCATCACACCTTCATAGACACGACAGAGATAGCTTTCTTAGCAACAAAGTTAAGAGGCGTGACCAAGAGCCAGAGCTCAACGCTCACAATCTCGGGTAATTACAACCAGGTAATTACACGTACCGGAACTTCTAAGCGTTTTCCTCCAATTTTTTTTTATCAATTCTTTAATCAGAGGAAATGAAGGGCTTCTGATGCCGCTAAAGAGCTCTTGATTCAGGGAATTAGGGCTTTTGATTCAAGGAACTAGAGCTAACCTTTCTCCAGATATGACCTGATAACCTCCAAGAATTTTATCATTGGTTCGGACATGCAGAAAGGATGGAACGAAATAGAATGACTTCGAGTGTGTATAAATCTGCAGTGGAGGGAAGGCGGGGTAGGGGTCTGCCTCCTAAAGGTTGGAGGGAGGGGGTAAAGAAGGTTTTGAGTGCAAGGGGCTTGGACTTCCAGCAAGCGTGCGTGAGCGTGTTAGAGACCAAATGGAGACAAATGGAATAGTTAGTGGTATGGGTTTTGGTAGGAAAACAGTGAAGTCCCAGTGTAGTAATATTACGAGTTCTAGGGGAACTAGTAATAAGCAGAACTAGGTAGATATTAAAAAGCCAGGGACTTTGGGTGATAAGGACAGTAATAGGTTTAGTAGAAAAACAGAAATGAGCAGGAGGGTAAAGAGAAAGGAGAGTCTTTCAATGTTTATTATGCTAATTGCCGTAGTGCTAGGAATAAGATGGACGAGTTGAGATTAGTTGCTAGTGTAGGTAACATTGATGTATTTGCCTTAACTGAGACGTGGTTTAATTAAAAAAGTCGGGACATGCCTGCGGAATGTCATATTCAGGGTTTTAAATTGTTCCAAGAAGATAGAAGTATCGGGAAGGGGGGTGGGGTGGCATTGTATGTCCGAGATCGCTTGAACTGTTGCATAAAAACGGGTATTAAGTCTGAAGTAACACATACAGAGTCTGTTTGGATAGAATTTTCAGAGGGGCATGAAAAACTGATTTTAGGAGTGATATACCGTCCCCCAAACTTAGATAGGGACCAAGGGAGACTACTATGGGAGGAAATTGTTAAGGCCACAAGGCACGATAATGTAGTAATTCTAGGAGACTTAACTTTAGTCATATTGACTGAATTTCTTGACTGGGAATTTAGAATCATACGACTTCTTAGAAGTAGTTCAGGATTGTTTTTTGAAGCAGTTTGTGACAGAACCTACAAGGGGAAATAACCTGCTTGACTTAGTTATGGCAAACAATGAATCCCTTGTTAATAATTTAGAAATTTCAGAGGAACTGGGTGCTAGTGACCACAAATCAATTACATTTAGCATTGAATGGAAGTACGATAGTAGCGATAACTCAGTAACAGTTCCAGATTTTCGCTTAGCAGATTACGATGGGCTTAGAGAACACTTATCTGTTGATTGGGGTAACGAAGTGAGCTATCAATATGACAGTTTTCTGAACACTATACATGCTGCTCAAAGAACGTTTATCCCATATAAAGAAATTAGATCAAATAGAAATGACCCAAAATGGATGAATAATAGGCTCAAATATCTACTAGGGCATAAGAAAGGAATTTATAGGCGTATCAAAAGAGGTGAGGGTCATCTTATGAATCAGTATATTGACATTAAGAGGGACATTAAAAAGGGGATAAGAAAAGCTAAAAGGGACTATGAAATTAAAGTTGCTAGGGATTCTAAAACTAACCCAAAAAGTTTTTTCCAGGTCTATAGAACAAAAGTTAGAGATAAGATAGGTCCCCTTAAAAATAACTATGGGCATCTTACTGACAAAGAGAATGAAATGTGCTCGATTTTTAATAATTATTTTCTCTCAGTTTTTACACAGGAAGACACTAACAAATATTCCAGTAATTAATTTTTATAGTGGGCTAGAAGAGGATAAATTATGTAACATCACAGTCACTAGTGAAATGGTTGTGAAGCAGATAGACAGACTGAAGCAAAATAAGTCGCCGGGTCCTGATGAGGTTTTTTCAAGGGTTCTTAAGGAATGCAAAATGGAACTCTGTGAACCATTAACTAATATTTTTAATTTATCTCTTCAAACAGGTGTAGTGTCTGATATGTGGAAGATGGCTAATGTAATTACTATTTTTAAAACAGGGGACAAGTCGTTACCGTCAAATTACCGCCCAATAAGCCTGACCTCAATTGTAGGCAAATTACTAGTCAATTATAGCCGAGATTATAAGAAGCCATCTCGATAAGCATAGCTTGATTAATGATACTCAGCATGGATTCACAAGAGGCCGGTCTTGTCTAACTAATTTATTAATTTTCTTCAGTAAAGCTTTTGAGGCTGTTGACCACGATAAAGAATTTGATATTATTTACTTAGATTTTAGTAAGTCTTTTGATAGAGTTCCGCACCATAGACTGTTAAAGAAAGTGGCAGCTCATGGCATTGGGGGAAAAGTGCTCTCGTGGATCGAGTCATGGCTCACTGACAGGAAGCAGAGTGTGTCCATAAATGGGGTTAAATCCGAGTGGGGATCTGTAACAAGTGGCGTTCCACAGGGATCAGTCTTGGGCCCGTTGTTGTTTATAATATATATCAATGATCTTGATGAGGGAATTACTAGTGATATGAGCAAATTCGCCGATGACACAAAGATAGGTAGGATAATTGATTCAAACGTAGATGTTATGGAACTTCAGGAGGATTTAAACAAACTCTGTTCTTGGTCAGAAAAGTGGCAGATGCAGTTCAATGTAGATAAATGCAAGGTTCTGAAGCTTGGGAGTGCCCATAACCCTAGTACTTATAAGTTAAATGATGTAGAACTTAGCCATACAGATTGCGAAAAGGACTTGGGGGTTATGGTGAGCAGCAGCCTTAAACCAAGACAGCAATGCCTAAGCGTTCGTAATAAGGCAAATAGATTACTGGGATTTATATCAAGAAGTGTAAAGCAACAGAAGTCCAGAGGTCATACTGCAGCTTTATACATCATTAGTAAAGGCCTCACCTAGTTTATGCAGCTCAGTTCTGGTCTCCATATTACAGAATGGACATAAATTCGTTAGAAAACATTCAGCGTAGGATGACTAAATTAATACATAGCATTAGAATCTTCCTTATGAAGAAAGATTGAAGACTCTTAAGTTACATTCACTTGTTAGACGAAGAATGAGGGGAGACCTGATCGAAGTGTATAAGTGAAGATAGGTATTAATAAAGGGGATATTAATAAGGTCTTGAGGATGTCTCTCCAAGAGAGAACCCGCAGTAATGGATTTAAATTAGTTAAGTTTAGATTTAGAAAGGACATAGGAAAGTATTGGTTTGGAAATAGGGTAGTTGATGAGTGAACAGTTCTACCTAGTTGGGTTATTGAGGCTGGGACTTTGGGTAGTTTCATATTTAGGTTGGATAAGTACATGAGTGGGAGGGGTTGGATTTGAGTGGGACTTTCACATCAGAGCTTATTTCTTGGGTGGCATTGAAAATTGGGTTGGGCAAATGTTTTGTTAGTGGGATGAATTGTAAAGGACCTGCCTAGTATGGGCCAACAGGCCTCCTGCAGTGTGCCTCCTTTCTTATGTTCTTATGTTCTTATGAAGGGATTCAGAGAAACCAGCAGGCCGGACTCGAGTCCTGGAGATGGGAAGTACAGTGTCTGCACTCTGAAGGAGGGGTGTTAATGTTAGTTTTATAACTGTAGTGTAAGCGCACTTCTGGCAAGACAGCGATGGAGTGAATGATGGTGAAAGTTTTTCTTTTCCGGGCCACCCTGCCTTGGTGGGAGAAGGCCGATATGTTAATTTTAAAAATTAAATATATAATCTTAAACATCTCTCGCCAAATAATTTCCATCTATGGATAACTCGTCACCAAATTCCAGGAAATATCTCGCCAAATCCTCTTCAATATTTTGAAAATCTCTTCTCATCCCCATAAAAAAATCTTCGTCAAAGCGAATTCGGTGACCTATTGACTGCATCCAATTTCACAAGGAAAATATTGACTCGGTGGGAAGTCCCCCAAAAGCAGATGACACTCGCAATGTGCTTAAGATGAGGTGAGGATTACATCACAGCAGCATCCGAATTTATCTCGTGTGCTCACTAGCACACCGTAATGATGTTCTCTTACTGGTGATGCTTGGTGGAGACAGTGCTGTTCTCCATCAGTAATGCATGAAGATAGTGTTGTTCTCCATCAGTAATGCTTGGAGATAATGTTCTCCACTGATGCTTGGTTGAGATGTTCTCCATCACTGGTGATGCTGGGTGATGGTCTCAACCACTGGTCACAGTGTAAATAATTGCATGGTAAGAGACTGGGCCAGGAGCTGCAACTCAACTATTCTTTCAGTCTCTATCTTATTTCCAGTAATCATAGAACGAAATCCCCCAAAATATTCTTCACATAGACTATACAAATAACTTACAAACGATATAATGCTGTAGAAGGTGTGTGACTTCTGGCATACACAGAACTAATGATGTAGTTGATGTTATTCAAACTTTGTTCATTGATCAATGAAATAGGTTGCAAACCTTCATCTTTAGATGTTAATCAATCTATAGATAAAAAGGCACTGTCTCGTGCCTGGAACAATACACAAATAACCCACATATAAGGGAAACAAATTTATAACGACGTTTCGGTCCAGCTATTAACACACTGACTAGTTAATGGCCCAAATCGGACCGAAATGTTGTCATGAGTATCTTTCCACTGTCATAAGTACAATAATGTTCCACAATCACGTAAATAAATACTCGTATCTATAATTACTAAAGCATGTGAGTGTGCAACTCCAGACTTACTAAACACACATCCAAACTACAAACAAACGCAAGTGGAAACGGGAGCTTAATCACTGGGAACAAACAATTCTTTAAACGTTTTAAAAATCTTTCCCTTCAAGCCTAGTCAAATCAACCTCAGAAAAGACAATGACCTCATTAATAACTGGGTCACAACATCCGGGGAACTCCCTTTTCCCTTTAGAAAAACTCAAACAAGTGCTTCTAAAAAAAGACTAAAATTTGATTTCAGGGCCCCAAAATATTATTAAAGAGTTTTCGCCCTTTTTTTGATTGGGTAATATTGCTTAAAGTGGACAGGACCCTGGTTAAGGGGTATAATTTTGGGCATCACAAATTTTAAGGCGTCTCTGATAGCTCTTAGTACGCAAAATTTGGGAAAATTTGTCCTTACTTTAAAATTTCCCGGGAAATAATAGCCCTATATTTCCGATCCTTAGGGTTTATTTTTTTGGGGGTCATTTCGCTGACTAGTTGATTTTGGAAATTATTTAAAAGAAAATTCTCTAGAAAATCTATACCAATTCACACCTCAGTCATTGTTGTAGATTGAAAAAAAGCGTGCAGAGTTACATTATCTTTTTTAAATTACTCAATAATCTTGCAACTTTGCTTTCCTTGATAAAACTTTTGATCACGAAAAAAACTGTTACTTACAAAACAAATTATTTTATCATGTTAGCCTATTCTGAGATTTTTACTTTCCAATAGAGAACCTTTCTATATTATGTTTGGTAGCAGAGCAGGGGACACAAATTACCATAAATCGACAACACTCAAAAAACCCCACATAATAGGGCAAAATTTCCAGCCCATACCTTGACAACAACCTAATTTTAGCACCCATATCCCAAAACATAACCAAAAAAATATCTAAAAAAGGTTGGGTCCTCTCCAAAAAAGATACTACGTGCCGCAAAATGCCCTTCTCCATATAAATCCCCCCAATTTTTTATCCAAACCTCACCTATCTATTCGTGCTTGGGGATCAAATGCAGCAACAACCCAAAGCCAAAAAAACCCAACAAAAAACGCATAAAAAATAACACTAAATCCCATCCCCCGGCCAAAACCCCCCCCCCCACCCTTCATAGATCTAAACTTACTCCCTGTTCAGTACATCCACACTACTACGTGCAATTACATCTACAGGACCTTAAACTCCAAAAACAAACCCTTGACCTAAACGCTTTCTTATATTGACAAACCCACAGAAAAACACCAGACACAAATATCTCTACCTTCCCCTGTCCGACAAAACCCTTTTTACAAAAATTAAATTATTAAAAGGCCCAAAAAATCGGGGAACCCCCAACCTGAGAACTCAAAAAGCAGAAAAACATTAATCATTCAAAAACCTTAGAAAACATTTATCCCCTATAAACCCATCAACAACACACAAATACCCCTGGGGGTTCACACTTACCTCACTCACCCTTTTGACCAAAAACAGAAATATTAATCTAAATCAAAAATAATGAATCCATGAACCCAATACAAAACTATGTACTGTGCCAAAACAAAGCATTCACATTGCAAACTCACAAACTAGTATTTAGCACTTAGCCAAAATACCAACTTACCCAAATTTGAAAATTTAAAATAAAAAATTAAATCAAGTCTGCCCGAAAATGCCTACCATGCTAGGCGTTCTAGGGGTACACTCTGTAATCATTTTTTTAACTACATGAAACCCAAAAAAACCAAATTCGTAAATTCAACTTGTAATCCTTTATAGAGAATAAACTTTAATTAATTCTTCACCCAAAGGTTTTAGAAGTAAATTCCCTGGGCACCCAAGGATTGTTCCACTCTCTTTTTCATTGTTTTTATCAGCGAAACTTGTAAATTTTCCGCCCACCTCACCCAAACAACACTAAAAGCTACGCGATGAACATGATTTCAACAAGCAAAATGTAGCCTATTCCATTAGGGTTCAAATATGTAAACGACTAGGACTCCTACATCAGCATCAAAAGAAAAAGTTTTAACAAAAAACTACATGCTCTATTTATATACTATGAAAAGTTAACTAGCACACCATCAATGATCGATATCGGTACAAAAACACCCTTCAGGAAATCCACTATGCTACGACAAATAAATTCAGACAGGCAAACTCGAGTCAAACCCAAAATGGGCACTGTAAATAGAAATAATTTTCATAGCCTAACAGTCCTCAAATGCCTACCACACCTATGTGAATATAGCTAATTTCAATTTCTTCGACCTTTGGACGAAAGTGCAACGAAAAACCCCCGAATTAATTTTTCGTTGCTCGAAATCGAAAGGCGCTTAATATATAACAAAACATATTTTTATGTTACGTTAGATAAATTTTTAACATAAAACCCCTTTTTGATATTAGAATGTTGAGAAAAGAACCAGACTCTGCAACGATGAATCTTGCTAAATGTCTAAAAATATTCTGTACACAGATCCAAGGGTATAAATAAAACAAGTAACTACGTATATTAAACTTCATAACCTTCATGAACTGTCATTATAGAAACAAGAGCATTTCACCCCTCCACGGAAGCTGCATTTACTTCATGCTAGGCTACTTAGACTCTTCCAAGAAGCTTATCACAGGTAATCCCTTTCTTAAATCACTTACAAAGGCAACTTCTCAAGAAGAGATTTCTCGCTTAAGTGATAGTACGAAAATATCACAATTACTTAAGCTGATGGATATAAACAAGATTCTACTGGCAAGCTTCATCTCTTCAACTATGTTGAGTTAGGCGTAAGAATTAACAACTGGTCTTGTACGTTACAAACTGAAATGTTTGCCATCCTAAAGACACTAGAGCAGACTTATGGAAATGAACTTTATTTCTTGATCATTGTTGATTCCCTCATCACTGAAAGCACTTCACTCGCATTATGACTTACAACATGCTAACTGGGGAAGGAAAATACAGATTGTAAGAAAAATAAGAGACCATTATTTATTATACGATTTTGGGAGATTCCATCTTACAATGAAATATTCGTTCATTTTTTTCAACACGTCAATCTTCTCTCACGGAGGTAGGTGACCCAAAAAAGAAGAAACTTTCGCCATCACTGTCTTGCCAGAAGCGTGTTAACATCGCAGCTCAGATGCGCCTCCATACTGCAATATCTCCATCCCTCCTTCAGTGTGCAGGCACTGTAATTCCCAACTCCAGGACTCAAGTCTGGATGGCCGGTTTCCTCTAAATTCCTCCATAAATGTAACCTTGCTGACACTCCAACAGCACGTCAAGTCATAAAAATCACTTGCCTCCACCCACTCTTAAACTATTATCAAGTCACAGCTGTGAGTTAGCAGTGACCTGGTAATGGGCTAGGACCCAGTAAATAAGTGCAAATTTTTGGTGAACTGTTGTGGCCACAGTGTTAGTTGTATTCTTCATTCCCTCCATCTTGACTCTCACTGACACACACACACACACACACTCACACACACACACACACACACACACACACACACACACACACACACACATACACACACACACACACACACACACACACATTCCCTCACGGAATAAATTTTGCGCATTGGGGTACCTTACAGGCAAAAAATTAACAAGTCTCAGCGTCACACCGCAAAAAATATGCTAGATATTTCGGACCACTAATATCTCACACCTATACGTCAGACTAGGTATTAACCCGCACCAAAATTCATTGATTCAGTATTAATTTACGGTTGATTCAAGCAAGATAGAATCTTTGTTTTCACGTCTATGAAACAGTTTGTGAAATTCAACAACAGACTCACCACCACTCTCACCAACACCGCCTTCACTCTGAATAACTTTGTCTAGAACACTTTCATCAACACTCTCACCAACACTGTCTCCACCACAGGTTCGGAGTTGGGTTCGGCTTCTCCATGATCTACGGAGCGCTGCTGACTAAGACTAACAGAATCTCTCGCATCTTCGACTCAGCGTCCAGGTCAGCACGCAGACCTGGCTTCATCAGTCCGAAGAGTCAAGTCATCATCACCTGCTCCCTCGTCTCCGTCCAGGTAGGAGGGAGAAACCTCATTGGGATGGGAGAAGGAGAGAAAGGAAGTGGATAAAGGGACGGGGAAAGATGGAGATACGAATGGGAGGTGAGGTGAAGGCGGATTGAGAGAGAATGGTGGTAATTAAGGGGAGAGAGTCTGAGTTAAGTCAGTAGCGAACCTACATTTTTGGGGCCCTGAAACTTTAACTGTTATGGGGTCACCTTCGTAACCAGCAACAGCTAGGCCTACAACAGTTAGGCCTACATGATACTTTCATAATCTTAATTTTTATTTCAACTATTATTTTGTATTGAATTACACTATATTATTTTTATTTTTTAAAAATTCCTCTCATACAGTAGACCCAAAGTTTTTAAGCAATGTGGAATAAAGTGGCTTTAAGTTTCATTAGTTTCATAGTAGATCCGCCCTGGTAGTGTGTTTGTGGGTGTAAAAGGAGTGTGAGGGAGACTAAAGCTTGCAACGTATAATATGAATACATGTGTGTACAGAGTGGACAAGGACAAGCGACTTTACTGTTGGGGAAGCGAATTAATAGTGTCTAGATGCAATGTAAACACTGGCAGGCTCTTAAGAAACATGTCTGAAATGTTAAGCTGGTGAAAGGGTGAATACACACACACACAAAACACAAAAAAATAAATCATCCTTCCCCATAGTTTCAAACATCCTTGAATCTCAAAATTTATTTCAGTCTCCGCTAATATATTCTCTGGAAAACATTCGCTTCTCAAGACAGATTTATTTTGCTCGCTGTAATGGAATATGTTTTTCTTCCTGCTTGCAATAATCTGTTTTCTCACGCAAGTTAGGAGCCTATGATTTATTTGCCTATTATTGTATGTATGTATATTATTTTGTGTGTATTATTTTATGTATGTGTGTGCATTCGCTGTGTTCACCAGATTTTGTCTGCTGGTGTTGGACGCGAGTTCTTGGGCTTTAAATTTGTAAATAGATAAACTTGGGTGCCTTATTTCCTGTCTATTTGGGCTATAATATATCAAATTTTCCTATCTACTTTCCAGCTCATGTACTGAGTAGACTTCCACTGCTTCTGGTAATAATAGTGATAATGATGAGAGTTATAATAGGTTGGGTTAGGTAAGTAAAAGGACACAAGTGCAACTAATGTGACATTTTGTGGTAACGTTTCGGTCTCCAGGAGCTTTGTCAAGCTGTTACAAACAATACGTGGACACAGAGACGTATATATAATAGTTGTAGGTAGTACAGGTACGATTATATTATGTTTTTCACCTCCGCCCCTATATATACCTCTCTTGTAACTGCTTGATAAAGCTCCTGGAGAGCGAAACGTTGCCACAATAAAATGTCACATTAGTTGCACTTGTCCTTTTACCCAACATATTGTAGGTGCTTCTACCAAGGTTAGGTTTGTCAGGGAACAGCAGATGTTTCCTTCGTAGTTCTGGTACTAGTCTTGAAGCGGACCTCTGACTACCTCTACCCTCCTAGTTCTAGTACCAACTTAGTAGGCAGTCTATGACTACCTCAACCCCTCGTAGTTCTTGCACCAGCCTAGCAGCAGACTCACGAAAAGCTCAACTTTGAAAGCTCGAAATGAAAATTCCACAGTGGCTCTAGGTACGCCAGTACTGGTCTTGTGTTGGCGATATACAATGATCTGAATGTCTTTAAGTTCATATTTCTGAAGGATATTCCTCTTAAAATTTTGTATATTGTAATTGTGTATCTCCTAGTCTTCATCTCTTTATGGTCGCCAGGTTCAGTTCTTTTCAATTTCTCTCCACATTGCATTCCTCTTAATTTCTTGACCAGACCAGTCTGCTTGCAAACCTTAGTATCTCCTCGAGCTTCTGCACGTGCTTGACCACGTTAGGGGCCAGTTGCGGCCAGACACACGTTCATGAACGCTGTTCTTAGGTATATCAGCTTTCGTATGTCACGTTATACGATTTAGGTATAAATCCGACGATATTCTCAAGTGTTATATGCTCCCTCCGGGTCATTTTCCTTCAGTGATATTTGTTGCTTCTTTCCATCCCTGATGTATTGTGTCCTATGCACACAAACCTGCATCAATCCGCATCGTCTTGTATTTGCTTAGACTGAACTTCAGCAGCCATTGTTTGGACTTGTTCTGCAACTTACCCGGGTCATCTTGAAACGTATCTTTGTCCTTCCTTGCTGTTATCCTTGTCATTCTCTTTACTTTGACAGAAAACCAAACACGTAATACACCCTACTGGTCAGTCTTTGACATGGAAACAGAAGAGGCGCGAATACTGATCCTTTCTGGATCCCGCTTGTTACTCTCCTATTCTCACCTCTCCTTTCTTACTGTCATTACTCGCTGTTCTCATCCAGATGCTCTTTCATCCACCTCTACTTGTAATTTTTTTTTTAACTTTTGTGTGTGTGTGTGTGTGTGTGTGTGTACTCAGTTGTGTTTACGAGGGTAGAGTTTCAGCTCCCTGCCCGACCTCTGAACCTATATTCCATTACCACAATTAGTTCATCGCTTCTGAGGCTCTATCATATCTTTATATGTATAGGTTCAAATATATATTTATATTATGACTTTCCTATTTAGTTTTCTAAGTATTCATACACGCTTAAGTACTCGTGTCCACCTATACATGCATACATAGTGAAGTATGTGAAAACATACCGGCAGTTACATCTCCTCTCCCCAACATACACACACCTTGCCTCTTCTTCCTACCTCCCTTCCCAGTGATCATCCTTTCTTCTCCCCTTCCATATTCTCCCAACACTCCTCTCTACTCTCTGCAACACCTCTCTCCTCTCTCTCTCTCTCTCTCTCTCTCCTCTCTCTCTCTCTCTCTCCCTCCCTCACATTTCAATCACCTCTCATCCCTCTCTCTCCCTCACTCTCTTAAGCACTCGCCCCTCCCTCCTTCCCAAACTCTCGTCAACACTCGCCCCTTTCTTCCCGCACTATCTCCAATACTCGCCCCTCTCCCACTCAATAAATAAATGTCATTATTTGTTTACACTGTCAGTATCAACTTGTGCAGTCACTAATCCTCCGTGTTCTCTGCCCCTGGCCGTGGCGCAGGTGGTAGCGACGGTAGTGTGGTTGATTATCGAGACACCTGGAGCCAGGTTTGACTACCCTACACGGGACCAGGTGATCCTCAAGTGTAAGATCAAGGACTCGTCGTTCCTGCTCTCCCTTATCTACAACATGGTGCTCATCACCACCTGCACCGTGTACGCTGTTAAGACTCGCAAGATCCCAGAGAACTTTAACGAAAGCAAGTTCATTGGGTTCACTATGTACACGACGTGTATCATCTGGCTCGCCTTCGTTCCCATCTACTTCGGCACGGGGAACTCTTACGAGGTCAGCACAATCTTACAATAATATTTCTTCCTCACCACTTCTTGCCGAATAGGGCAAGCGAAAATTTGTGTATGCAATAATAAAGCAAAAATCATTCTGAACCTAACGATAAAAAATATATTTCATTGTGCTTGTTTATTATTAAATTATTGTAAACTTATCTAAAATATATTTGGTTGGATTAAGCTAAATTAATTGCGCTTATTATAATAAGGTTAGGTAAGTTTTCTTGGGTTCTTTTGATACAAAATTATTAATTTTACATTAACATAAATGAAAAAATACATCTTTAAACGTATACGAGAAATTTTTAGAAAGAACTTAATTTTAAACGAGTTCTTGCTAATTGACCAGTTTTACCTATTCGGCATGAAATAATTATATATATATATATATATATATATATATATATATATATATATATATATATATATATATATAATATATATAATATATATATATTTTTATATATTTATATATATATAAATCTGCGGGTATATATACCCTGCATACCTGTGATGAATGGTTTGAAAAACCGACAAGTTGAAGATTGAGACGCTTATGCAGCATATGGGAATCTTTATTCAGGAAACGTTTCGCCACACAGTGGCTTCATCAGTCCAATACAAAGAGGAAGGCGTAAGGAGAGGAGGAGTATGAGGTAATCAGTCCGTCAGCCTGGAGTCGATGTGTTCAGTCCATTCTACAAGATTGATGGACTGAACACATCGACTCCAGGCTGAGGGACTGATTACCTCATACTCCTCCTCTCCTTACGCCTTCCTCTTTGTATTGGACTGATGAAGCCACTGTGTGGCGAAACGTTTCCTGAATAAAGATTCCCATATGCTGCATAAGTGTCTCAATCTTCACCCTGCATACCTGTTGAGACTGTGACAATGTAGTTGAGTTGCAGCTCCTGTTTACCATTTTCTTATTTATGATGCGCTTAAACCGTATTGGTTATTTAGTGTAAGTAGTACCAGTGGTGGAAGCTCGATCATTCGTCTAGTAACAGTAAGAGATTTCTTGCATGTCAGTATTCACCTACCGTAACATTATTATTATTATTATTATTTTTTTTATTAGCATCGTGTGCTACATGAGAAAGTAGACAGTAAAGAAGTGCCACACAAGTGCCACACAAGTGCCAGGCGAGTGTATTATGAGAGTGTTTCAAGCTGGCTCTCATTAATTCTTAATTCTGTCTGAAAGTGACAAGAAATTCACATTAATCGTAAATGCTAAACCTTCCTAATATTCAGCGCAATATATATATATATATATATATATATATATAATATATATATATTATATATATATATATATATAATATATGTCGTGCCAAATAGGTAAAACTGGTCAGTTACCAAGAACTCTTTTAAAAAAATTTAAATTTTCTTTTATACGTTCAAAGACAAAAAAAAAATTTTCATTTATGTTAATGTAAAAATTAATAATTTTGTACCAAAAGTACCTTAGAAAACTTGCCTAACCTTATTATAACAAGCTCAATTTAATTTATCCTAATCCAACTAAATATATTTTAGATAAGTTTACAATAATTTAATAATAAACCCAATGAAATATTTTTTTTTCGTTAATTTCAGAATGATTTTCGGGAAATTATTGCATACACAAATTATCACTTGCCTTATTCGGCAAGAAAAGCGTTGCTATTTAAGCCAATATCGAAGTTTTACCTATTCCACACGACATATATGTTTATAAGAAGTGTGTACGAGGTTACTAAAAATATAATTCAGAGGGGTGAGGAGGGGTTAATGGGCATTTATAAAGGAGCAGAACTGAAAGACGGGAAGTTTGACTTCCGTAACATTTCGTCAGTAAATATTCTTCTGTTTCCTTTAAAGCTACAAATACAAGATTCGTAGCAATCTTTCACTGTGACAAAGTTTCGCTCTGTAGAGCTTCCTCTACACGGAAATGCTCTACATTATCAAATCTTCTGCTATATCATGTCGGAAATGCTCTGCATAACCACTAGCTTATTATAATGTCAATAACATTACCTTTTCCGAAGCAATCTTAAGCCATTCTTTACAGAAATAGTTTTAATTCATCTTTTATTATCTGCATTCACGATGAGATACTCTGGCATTTTCTTCAAGTTCTTTCTTCACTAATATCGTCAATTCTCTTCCCTTCTTTCCACTTCTGTCTCTCCTTCGTTCTCCATTTATTTACATCTTTATTATTTCGTCTAATGGGTATCTACAACAGTACAACAATATTCAATGTAGTAGCATCGATAATGATGAATTAGATACTTGGACTTCTTCAGTCTGATACAAAGAATGGTTGAAGGTCAGAAGATATTTGAGGTAATCAGTCCCTCAACTTGGAGTCGATTTTGATAAGATTGATGGACTAATCACATCGACTCCAGGCTGAGGGATTGATTAGCTCAACTCTTGATCTTCAACCATTCTTCTCTGTATAGGACTGTGGAAGCCACTGGTTGGCGAAGCGTTTCCACAATACACACACCCAAGTGTTGCACGAGTGTCTAATTCGTCTTTCTGTCGGTTCTCTAAACCAGTTAGGTAAAAGGACACTAAGTGCAACTAATGCGACATTTTGTGGCAACGTTTCGCTCTTCAGGCGTGATAAAGCTCATGGAGAGCGAAACGGTGCCACAATAAAATGTCACATTAGTTTCACTTGTGTTCTTTTGCATATTGTCTGTAATTCTACCAACATTAATATAATCTAAACTAGTTGTCTACAGCACTAATAATATCTGTACAATAAATGTAAATATTTGTGAATATCAAAATGGTATACAATACCGACAGGATGGTAGGTAAGACGCATATATATGTGTGGGCGAAACGTTTCGGAATAAAGTTGCCCAAGTGTTGCCTGTGTCTTACCTACCAAATTTGTATCAGATACCTACTGTGTTCACATTTTTATAAAATATTTGTTTTCAGTATGTGTGTACGATATTTAAATATCGTATATGTATTAATAATTGTACTTATTTGTGTTGTGTTGAATAAACGTGATTTTCCAACACTTCTCTTCATAAAAAAAAACACAATATCGTGAGTGGAACAATACGCAAATAACCTGCACATAGGAGCTTACGACGACGTTTCGGTCAGACTTGGACTATTTACGAAGTCACACTAACAAAAGAGAGTGAGGAAGTCAGTATATATATATATATATATATATATAAATATATATATATATTATATATTATTATATATATATATATAATATATATATATTTAAAATATATATAAAAATATATATATATATATAATTAAATATATATAAATATTATTATATATATTATATATATAATATATATATAATATATATTTTATTTTATTATATGCGAGGAGGACAAGGACGGACCAAGAAAAATTAGTGGTAGTGGTAAGACTGGTAGTAGTAGTGGTAATGGTAAGACTGGTAGTAGTAGTGGTAATGGTAAGACTGGTAGTAGTAGTGGTAATGGTAAGACTGGTAGTAGTAGTGGTAATGGTAAGACTGGTAGTAGTAGTGGTAATGCTGGTAGTGGAACCTCCACTACTTCATCATCTCATTTGTTGTTTCCTTTCAAGGTGATTAAAATTCGTTACTATATTATCGCTAGCACTCGGGAGTCTCGTATTCTACTTCACTCACGTCAGATGACCTTCGAGGGGTTATACTAGTTCTAGCTTTCTCTCTCTCTCTCTCTCTCTCTCTCTCTTCTTCCTCTCTCTCTCTCTCTCTCCCTCTCCTCTCTCTCCCTCTCCTCTCCTTTTTCCTCCCCCTCCTCTCTCTCTCTCTCTGGTTGTGTTTCTGACGTGTTGGTACAAAAAGTTTTCCATCAACGCCTCCATTATCTTAGTCTTCTAAGTTTCCGGTCATCTGCGAGGATCACAATTCTTTCAGCCTGTTTTCTTCCGTGTGTGTGTGGGGGGGGATATGACTGTCCATTGTTTCAGTGTTGGTGCTAGTCTGGTGTTAGTCATCATGTTAGAATAGTGTTTGTGATGGTGTTGGTGACAGTAATAGACGGGTATTAGTCATTCACTCAGTGGCGTCATATCCAAAGAAGCACTAAGGTGTGTGAGTAAAGAGTGGTCTCCCTGTGTCGTCTAGGGTGCACCAGGGTGACGTGGTTTACCTTCAGAATATCAAGTAACTATCCACGCGACATATGTTATATCATTAAGGTCTAAATGCTTATTATACTCATATATACGTCCTTATGTAAATTACACGCACAATGCGAGTTATGACAAATGATTATGAAGACATTTTGTCTTACAAGTACAAAACTTTAATAGATAAGGTCCCTAGAGGACGAAATATCGTCAAAATAAAATGTCATGACCCCATTGTGTCTTATTTACATACTGTCGGAAATACCCTACCACGGTACTGCCAGGTCCAGGTTATATCGACTATTGCTGTGACTGAGTTGTTTTATTGGTTGAACAGGTGAGAGGTAAACTACCAGGTGTTATGATTGATCTTAACACACAAGTCTTTACATCCATCACAATCTTACACCACTCAGCATTACATCCTTTGTAATGCTATTGACCGCGTCATTCGTAATGTTGTATTGCGGCACATTTATGTCCTTCGTAATGCTATTTCCAATACATATCTTTCGTAAAGTTATTGATAATGATAGATGAAGAGCAGTGAATTTCGGGGATTGTTGACAGGAGTGAAATCTTCAGTTGCGAGATAGACGTACAAATGGTATAAAAGAAAAAGTTGCTGAAATTGCATAAGGCCGAATTCAAAAACCGTCTAGCAATAGTAACGACCCTAGAGCAATAGTAACGACCCTAGAGCAATAGTAACGACCCTAGAGCAATAGTAACGACCCTTGAGCAATAGTAACGAACCTAGATCAACAATAACTATCCCTCAAGCAACACTAACGACCATTTGTACTCACACTGGTGTCTGTACACACACACACACACACACACACACACACACACACACACACACACACA